AAAATGAAACTAACAAACCAACAATGACGGTTGCATGGCCGTTAATGGTGGAATGGTGCAAATCCGGTGACCAAGCTGTAAAGGAGTCGAAGCCCAAAGGCTTGGCGATTTCAGTTCAGCGGAGGACGACAACAAGAGGGCGGAAGGTCCCAGTCCTTAAGGATTTGATGAGCAGCGATGGAATTTTTAAAAATCTCCAATATCAAGATCGAGGTAATGCTGTTGAAACCCTGGATTGAATTGAATTTTGGGATAACTTTGCACCCCGAAAGATGCGAGCATCTCTCTCCTTCCAAATGTGATACACGAGAGCTGCGAGGCAAAGCTTCCAAAAAAGATTCAGTGGTGATGGAGAGGACCACTGGACGCTGAAAGTCGAAATAATGTCCGGCCAAGAAATGGCTGCAATGGTGATGTTTTTTTCCTTCCAAGGATGGGAACTCCATAAGTTTAGAAACCTCAGTTTGCAGGGCAAATGAAGAATCCACATTGGGATGTGAATTGGCACTCAAAAAACAAGTGAGTGGTGATGGGTTGTGAGGATCTGGTTTTATTTTATTTTATTTTATTTTGTATATTCTAGTTATGTTGCCCAAACAGGAAGCAATAATATTTATTCATTTTGAATTCTATATTGCATAGTAAAATCTGTGCAACCCGTCTCCACCATGGTGACCTCGAAAGCTTTCCTTCGATGTGCAAATTGAAGGACTGTCCCTCCTCTTGGCGCATAACTCTAGATTGGGATCTTTCCCCTTCAAACATTCGACCTATGGTTTGAAGGGATAGCTCCCCCTCTAGTCAATTGACTTGAAAAACCGTTCGAAAGGTCTTCCTAGTGGAGAGTATTTAAGTCATCCCATCTCTGTCATTCGCTCCAATGTCCTACCCCACTGTGCACTGTGAACCTTATCTATTCCCTTTCCTTCCTTTCTCTTCATTTGAGTTCAAATTGTGTCTGTTTGTATATGGGAATCATGTCTATGCTTATATATATTTGAAAATCATCTATAAATATATCTCCTCCAAATTAAAGCCATGCCACACATTTTGCTACTTAATAGTATGAAAAAATTGAACAAAACTTGCTCATCTTTCATCTTTCAAAATAATAAATTGAGTCTAAATTCTCCTAAAAACTGAGTGAGTGTTTGAATTTTTTGTGTGATTACAAACGGACAAAAACTAGCATATTGTTATAAAAGTTATGCTAAGCACAATCGTGAATGTTCTTGGGCAGTCGTGACACTCAGCATTGTCCATGTTACAGCATTTGACTAGAACAAATACTTCGGTGCAATCACGATACCATACCTCAATTGAACAAAAGGCATATTTAACTTGTGTAATATTAGGGAGCACAAAGGATCTATCAACTGCATCCGGACTGTTTTTGAGGTTTTTTTCCTTTGGCTAATTCTACAAAGGAAAACTACGAAACTACTCCTCCGCATTGTTTCCATTAAAATTGTCCATCTTAGAACTCTCTACATCCAAAATTATGCATACATTTTTTTTTTTTTTTTTTTTTTTTTGATAACTAAGAATTTTATAAAAAGCACTCAAAAGGGAGGCGAATCTCATGGAAACAAGAAAAAAAAGCCACAAAAAGCCTCAAGCCTTCAAAGAGGCCAAAAAAAAATAACAATCTCCTCAACATGATCAAAAAGATATATCTTGGTTATATTTCATCAACAGAATGATACTAACAATAACAAACAAACAAATAAAAACTTGAAATCCACATATATATATATATATATATATACACACACACACTCACATTGAAGTAATTCAGATTAAATGAAACAAGTAAGCTTATATAGGAGCTTATCAAGTTTCATCATCAATACACCCAAATAATAAAATTAACCAATGAGAATTATAACCAAAAACACTAGTAAATAATAAATCAGTGCAATTTCATATATAATAATAAAATGTCATAAACCATCACAACCTTTTCCTACCAACCATAGTGAAAAAGAATCAACCAACTAACCTAGATCGTGGAGGAGGAAATGGAAACCTAATTAGTAAGGCAAAAGGAGACTATGTAGAACTACATTGTGTTGGGGGCAACCCAAACTGGATGTGGGTCAATGATCTTCAACCTGACCGGATAAAAACGCTTTAGGTCGTTATCTCCTAAGCAAAAGATGCCATTATCATGGCCATGATATACGTTGTTAAATTCCTCGAAGTTATCATCTGAGAAGTAGATGGAATTTCCAATCAGTTCCGGATAATCGCGAGTTGAAAGAGAAAAAGAATGATTAGAACCCACAAACAGTGCCCGGTCACCTAAACATTCCACAGGTTCCCACTTACCGTGATAGTAATCTAAGTTACGAACATCAAATCCCAGAGTCCAATAAGCATCATTATCACGAATGTAATAATTCCTTTCTATGGCCTCCGTCCGGAGATAACTATAAAATCTCTCTTTAAAACTCTCAGGATGATCAATGCCACTTTCAGCAACACTTAAAGCTACAAACCTAGAAAGCAGCAAAAGATCCCCAGAGGATTCAACTAAATAATTACGCTCAACACAATTATAAGATAACCGAAGTTCGTGCCCAAGCTTCCCAGGCCGCAAGGAAGCACCATCAAACACTTGAATTTTGGGACAAGAAGGATCCCTGAGGTCCCAAGCTTCCATGCTACAATCCGAATTGATGGCATAAAATCGCTGATCCTTGCTGAAATACACAATGTCAGAATAAGGTGGGCGCGAACCATCCAAGACGGTCCACCTATCGTTCCCGGGTTTGCAGAAGGCAATATCATAAAATCCGCCGTGTATAGCCATTATAGTGCAATCCTGGTCGTCAAGATTCGGTTTTGATGAAGAAGAGGGGAACGATGGGGCAGATGACATAGCAAGCCTGTGTAGGTAAAAATGGCAGGCTTGTTCAGGGGAAACGTTGTGCTCTGATATGACGGATTCGTCCCCATCGACGCTGAGGAGAGTCTTGTTTAAGAGTAGGAAGCGTGTGATGATGGAAGGGGAAGGGGAGCGGTGGTCGGATTTGAAGAGGCGAACGGCGCGGACGGAGGGTAGGGTATCGATGGAAGGAAGGGGGATGTAGGGGAAATGAGGGGAGTCTATTAAGTGGTTGTAGAGATAAGGGTGGCAATTGTGAGGGTGGTTAAAGGCCAGCCATCCATGAGAAGAGCTCACACATCGTGCGCCGTCAGGGGTAAGGAGGTCCCTCTGCCATGGTATACTGAGATTCTTCCGAACCCTAATTTTATTCTGTTTCGAAAGACTGAGGAAATGAAAATAGTCCTCATTGTTCTTGTTGTTGGACGCCGCCCTGTTGTTGGATGGTGGTGGTTGTACCACTTTGTTTCTATGCTGTCATCGACAAAAGTAGCACCGGGAGGTACCATGAGTAATGGCGATGGAGGACTTACAGGTGGAGAATGAGGAGAAGAAGAAGAATAATGTCGGATCGGCGAAAAGGGCGAAGCTTTTTCGAAGCATCCACCGCCGCCTCCAAGGAGCAAACCACCACCACCACCACCGCCACCGGCTTGACTACTGGAATTATGAAAGCTGCCCGGCGTGGAAGAATTGCACCATGATTTTAGCATCGAACGGTGGCAATACATCATCCGATCGCCAAAACTCCTCCGATTAGCCATTTTCTCTCTCCAACTCTGTCTCTGTGTCTTTCCGTCATACCAGCCTACAAAGGACTGAAGTAGTAAAGTAAATTTTGATTCATCGCTACCATGTCCCAACCCTAATGTAAATTACTTTACTTTACTAAATTATATGCTTAAAATCATGAAACCTTGTTTACTTTTAAAATAGTGTATAAAACCTTAAAATAAAATAAAAATAAAAATCCTTAACTAATAATACTTATCAAGTTAATTTAAACCCGTGACCCACCATTTAACTTAGTTATGGAATGTTTAATTTTACATTGTTTTTTAATATTAAATTATAATTTATAATTATTATTTTAAAATTAAAAAAATATACCTTTATAATCATATTATTTAATGTTAGATGAGTTCTTATCTTACTAGCTAAAATTTGACATTTCACAACTCATTTAACGGTTACGTTAAGAGTTTACGAGATAATTTGATGAGTTTTGTTATTTTAGGACTATTTTAAATTTTATTGGGATTTTATGCATGATTTTAAAAGTAAGGAGGATTTTTATGATTTTTAACTATTATATTTATTTATATATCGTGTTCAATGTTTGGTTCATATTTTCGGTTTGACTAGTTTTGTACGGCTTGGACTTCGGTTGCGCGACATAATAGCTAGAGTCCGATCCAAAATAAATCGGGTTTCTAATTTTCAACCAAGCCTAAACTGAATTGCAATTTACGCCATCCAAAACCAAAACCAAAAATATTATGCGCTCAAGTTGGATTCGCCAGAATTGCAACCCTAACAAAGAGCACCCATGCAATCACATTAAATCAAGAATATAATAACAATGTAAAATTGCTAAATTTTTTTATTTAATAGTATTATAATGTGGCAACCGGATCAAGTATATTGCATCAGCTTTGCATCCTCATAATAACCATGTTGCATTAATGTTGGATCCAAATCCAGTGTCAATACCATTTCCCTTGTTTAGCTATATTTTTTATTTTCTTAATTTTAAGATCCACTTCTATTGATTGTCATGGTGTCATTTGTACAATGTTAAAGAAGGTTCATGTAACATTTTTCTAAGTGGACTGTGTTATTGAAACTCAATCATGTTTCAGAATTTTAAAAATGTAAGGAAAAATATTAGGTTTTTGATCAGTGGTGGTTTTAAAAATAGAGAACGAGGCAGCCATCCTAACAACAATTGAGGAGCCAAAAGTTGGATAATCATGTTGAATATTGGGTGAAATTTCATAGCAACTAAATTAAACTATCATCTTTAATCCTAGAAGATAAATAAAGAATAAACCGAAAAATAAACCGAATTGAGGAGGTGAATAATTTAACAAAAAAATAATAAACAGAATTGAGGAATAATTATTTTTTTAATAAAAAAAAAATAATTAGAAATGAGGAGGTGAATGCTCCCCATCTAGTTGATGAACTGAAGGCTCTGCTAATATGCAACCAATAAGGAATACCAAGAGAATGATATATCTGAAGAAACAACCATTTTCTTGGCCAAGCTCCAAACACAATTTAGACAGTCATAGCCATTTTGAAGCATTGATCAAAGCTTGTCAACAAAGGGTGAAAGTTTGTTTACACTGAAATATGCCCAAACTTTACAACATTGGTTAATAAAATTAGCCCATCAAACTAGATGCTAAACTAAACTACTCTAAAAGGGAGGCCAATGAACTACTTGATTCCCACATAAATCTAAAGCCCAGCAAAATGAAATCAACAAATCATATTGAGGAAAGATCTTCATATATAGTCTTGATACCTGGCCTCTCAGATACACAGCGTATACATCGCAGTGCTATCCCAAGGACCTCCTTCATTCCCTTCTCCGATGCTGGAATCCTCCTCTCTGGGATCAATGCAGCATCAAAACAGTCTGATCCACGACCTTCAGTTACTCTCAACCGCACCCAATCCGCTAAATCTACCACTCCATCTTCACCAGAAACCACATCACCAGCACATTTTCCAGTCAAGAGTTCCAACAGAATTACTCCAAATGCATAAACATCAGACTTGAAGGAGGGCTGTGGCTTCTTGGAAGCAGCCAACTCTGGTGCACGGTAACCTAACACGCCAGTATCAAGGATCTGCTCAATGGTGCCAGCCTGAGTCATTAGGCGATGAAGGCAGTAATCAGCAACACGGGCATTAAGATCAGGGCCATCTAAGAGTATGTTGGTCGCTTTGAGGTTGCCATGTGGAATGGCACGGTCAAAATGGAGATAATTCAGGCCACGTGCAACATCAACTGCTATTTTGAGCCTTTGGGCCCAGAATAATGGTTGACCCTTTCTTCCAGGACGATCTGCAGGAATTGGTTTATCAGATATGCAAATAAAAGCTACCCAGAAACAACTATACTGTAAACTTGGTGGAAAGAATCACCATATGAGCACAAGTATGGATGAATATGGATTTTTACGTCTTCCTATAGTGTTACAAAAGCATGACAAATGCATTGATTAGAGCAAGAAACATGTAAGACCGATAAAGTATTTGCATAGCAATGGACAAGAGAAAAGCAATAATAAAAGCATGAAAATTTATGTTACGCTAATGCATTTTTTAAAAAAATTGCTTGTTGAAGTAAAAAATGGATAGGGAAGGGGGTGGTGTTTCTATCTTTGATCAGGGGATAAAATGGAATTCTTGTGGAAGCTTGTATAGCACCCCATATGATTGCCTTACAAAACAATTGCCTATAAAGCATAATATCTTAGATATCCCACTAAAGAATCATAAAATTTCGACCAGGGCATAAAAGAGCATTACTAGATTTAGTCTACATATTCGCAGCATATATTCAGTCAATTTGTTTGAGCAGAATACCTAATTGTAACTGCTCAATTATATAAAAGGGCAATAATTGATCCGTTACATTCTGTCATTTTATATCACCCAAATGATGATCTTGCATGCCATGATAATAAAAGGCTAGAAGAAATTTTTTCATTGACTGAATGATCCTCCAATTGCAACATAAGATTTTAAAGCCCTACTTCCAGTAGTGTTGACTGGTCATACTATTATGTTTTACCGGAAGTGTCCAAACAGAAAGAAATGGAAAACTCAGCTCCACAGAAAAGATCATGAAGCTAGAACAGCAAATATTATCAATATGATGAGCGTAGTTGACAAAAACACTAATCTGAGGTCCTAATGCAGTTTACCCTAACATTTAGTCAAATTCAAATTACCATCTCGTGAATCTGGCAAACCACAAAACAGATGGAGAATTCAAAATCCAGTTTGTGCCTTCAGGCCAGATAATAGAAAAATAGATGGTACTAAAATCAAATATAAACGTATACGTATCACTGTAATGGTTTAAGATTGAAATTTGTCCAACTCCTAAAGATCTCATTCTACAAGTTCTCCATTTTTTCTGGACATCTTGCAGGACTTTGAATCTATATATTTCTTTACTTTGTTGGGACCCACATTCATCGATTTTTCAGTGTAGAAGCAAAATCGTAGGGTTGAAAGAATGAGAAGGGAAAAATATTACCATAAAGAAAGCTTGCAAGACTTCCGGGTGAGATGTAATCTGAAAGAATGAGCTTCTCATGCTGTGTGGGACCCCAGTAGTACCCTCTCAATCCCACGACATTCGGATGCCTGAGATTTGAAAATTTCTTAGCTTCCTTAGCAAAATCCTTTTTCTGTTTTGCCACCCCTTCTCTCAACCATTTCACAGTCAAGAACATACCATTATCAAGTACAGCCCTGTATGAAGTCCCGTGACTACTTCTCCCCAACACTTCAGCTGGAGCTTTAGATAGTTCGTCAGGTGTAAATGAAAGTGTATCATCAAGAAAATACAGCTCACCAGGCAATTGATCTGGTGACCTGACAACATCCAATCTCGCAAGGTTTTCTGCAGTATAAGACTGCCCAGATTCTGGTGACCAAGAGAATTGACTGTTCTTTGTTGGGGAGAAGCCAGTTATGGATGCCATTTTCTCATCAGGACTTATTATCTCAGATGAAGATCCTTTCCGTGAAGTCATAAGATCCTCAGCGGAAACAACTAAAGCACCAGCACTGTCCCTTCCCCTGAAGACAGAAGGATTTGGTAGGGCCCGCCTGTGTATATCTTTGTTTGAAGCGTGCTCTGGAAGAGATCTCCTTGATATGCGAATGTAATGAATGAAGGTGGCAAGCAGGATCAGAATTAAGATAGCAAGCACACATGCAATTATCACCGCCACTTTGACTATAGTCCTGATTGGTTTCCTCTTGGGAATTCCAGGTGGAGAATGGCTCAGTCCAGGAGGACCATTCGGAAACTGTAATCCAGAATTTCCAGGGTAGAAAGAAGATAGTGGAAACTTTCTTAGATTCTCTGGGACAACCCCAGATAGATCGTTATACGACACATTAAAGCTTTGAATAAGGTTTGAAAAGTTACTTGGTAACGAACTTGTGAAATGATTCAGAGAGATATCTAATGAACTTAGGGAACTCATGTCAGCCATGGAAGTTGGCAGAGAACCAGAGAAATTATTGCCAGCTAGACTGAGCACTTGAAGGTCACTCAATAACCTAAATCCATCCGGAAAATAGCCACTAAGCCTGTTATGAGAAAGATCAAGAACCCGAAGATTGGGTTCAATGGAGGGAGGAGCAGAGAACTCAATACTTCCAATAAGAAAATTGTTTCCGAGGTGAAGTTCTAGCAATGTGGGCGATGTTAGCAGAGTAGTTAAAATAGGTCCATCTAACTGGTTGAAACAGATATCAAGGACTGAAAGTTTAGGAAATTGTGAAATCGCTGTTGGGAGAGTGCTAATAAGGGAATTATGGGAGAGGTTGAGGTAATTTAAACGCAGAAATTGTGAAGTTACCTCAGGAATGGATCCTGTTAAACGGTTCTGGCTGAGATCGAGGAATTCAATGTTACCCCAATCCTTTAACCTGGTTAAATTTCCTCTGAATTGGTTTTTTGACAGATCAAGTACTGCACAGCTTCCAGTCACCAATGGCAATTGACCAGAAAGCCCATTTGAGGAAAGATTAAGGATGTTCAAAGTAGTTGACGTTATCATGCTTATTGGTCCTGAAAGATGAACTAGATGTGAGACGCATAGCAAATCAAACCACACCGGACTAGTTATTGTGGCAGTGGCCAAAGAGCATTATTTCCTATGTAAATGACATTTTCAGTTATATGTTGCAATGTCACAACATTTACCTTTCAAAAATATTATGATACTTCTATGCTAGGTGTAGATAAATGTTAACTGAGAAATTAAATAAATTCAAGAAATACGGGAATTTCTAAAGAGAAATTCTGCTTAAAGAAGTACCTGTAAGGTTGTTTCTGCTCAAATCCAATTCAGTTAGAACCAAAGAATCCCCTTTCAGAAGGCCATTAGGAATCAAACCAGAAAACATGTTGTTACTGAGCTTGAGGACCTGAAGCTCATAGACAAAATTAAATCCAGGTAATTCTCCAGACAGCTGGTTGTAGCTTAAATCCAACACCTTCAAGTTCCCAAATATCTGTTGTTCACCCCCACTCACCAGTGAACCTTTGAGCTGGTTGTGGCTAAGATTTAGATACTTAATAGTCTCTGAAATGCCCGGTAGAAATTTCTGCTGCTGTGATGCAGAATTCAATAGCAAATTCCCACTAAAATCAACATGAATGGCACTTGAAAGAAGCAAGAATTCCACATCTAGATTTCCGTCAAGCATGTTACCGTGCAAGTCAAGCACCTCAAGATTTGTCATCAGCTCAAAGCCTTTTGGGATTTTCTTTGTGAACGCATTAAGAGACAGATTTAGAAATACCAAACTCGTCAACTTAGTCAATGATGATGGCAGTAACCCAGAAAAGGAGTTGCGACTCAAGTCCAAAGACTGGAGAGAGGCAAGCCCTGAAATTGATTCTGGAATAAAGCCAGAGAAGTTGTTTCCGGCCAACGAGAGGTTCTGTAAGCTCCTCAACTTACCAATATCTGATGGTAATGATGAAATGAATAAATTGTCCGAAATATCCAGATACTCAAGGCTTTTGAGGCCACCTACATTGTTGGGAACTTTTCCAGTCAACGAATTGTTGGACATGGAGAGTTTCACAAGCTTTGTGAGGTTCAAAAACACACTCAAATCAGCTTTCCCGGACAAACCCAGATTATTAAGGACAACCCCTGCAACATTTCCACCATTGCACACAATCCCATTCCAAGAGGAGGGGCACCCATTGAAGTCGATGGACTCCTCATTCCAAGAACCAAGCACAAAACCCGTGGGGTCACGCTCGATCCCCTTCTTGAATTCAAGCAGTGCCAAGATGTCCGGTGAAGGAAGCTGTGCAATGGCAGAGACCAAAAAAAGGGATACCACCAAAATCCTAAAGCAATTCATACTAAAACCACCAAAAAATGGCTTCACCCAAATATGATAGAAGCTTAATGTCAAGAACCAAAGTAATCTTTCAAGCCCTCAAATCCCCTATTCAAAGAAACCCAGTTGACTCACACACCATTCAACAGCCACAACAACATTTTCTTCAATAAAATGACCAATGGCAACCCTATAGAATGAACTATAAGAACTAAGATTCACATTTTCAACCAAAAAAAAAAAAAAAAGAAAACTCATTTATTTCAACACATAACACTTGTAACAACACAAACTGAGAGAAAGCAATAAATGAGTGATATAAACTTTACAGTGTGTCACATTCAAAGATCTAACCATGGAAAGTTCAGCATTTTACTTACCACACCATCTCCACATGAACAGAGCGAATCTGGGTAAAATGAGCCTCTCAAAGATCAATCTTTACAGCAAACAAAGCCTCTGTTGCACAAATTAGAAGTTCGAACAATCTGAAAGTACAGATTTGCAGAGCACATGAACTTCATTTTGCAGGTCCTTCTGTGACACAGCTCAAAACCGTTCAGGCATTAAAAAGAAAATGTGCAATGCATTAAATACAATGGACCCAGAAAAGTTTTTGGCTTTGGAAACTTTAATTACAACAATTTAGTTTCCGAAAGACCAAAAACTTCTGGCAGTTACAGTACAAAACCCTAGTCTCTCATGTTAAATAACAAAGGAAACAAACCCAAAAAGGAAATTACTCTCTTCTCTTAACTCGTCCTCTTTCTCTCTCTGGTGATAGAAGACATGAGACCCAACAAACCCTAACTTGTTCTTTTTGTTTGTTTCGATGAACACCTAAAGAAACCCTAATTTTTGTCCATTCTTTTGAGGGTTCTTCATGATTATTTTAAGCAGAGTCTGCAAATAACAGAGAGAAAAAGCGGGAACTAATGTGGTTTTTGCAAGTTTTTGCCGGTAAATGAGCTTTACCCGCCAAAGAAGGGAATTTCATAGTGGACGTGAAATGATTTGTTAAATCTAGGAAAGATTTTTGGGGGGAGTAGTCAGATTTTACAACTCATGAAGTCTGGGCGGACAGGATCAGCCCAGCTTGGAGCGAACCCACATTTGCCCTTTGACTAGTCTTACGTGTTACCATGGTGTGTAATGGGGGTGTATATATATACTCATATATCTAATTGTATAAAATAGGAGGTGAAGTGGGTGAGGGAATAACTGTAGAGTTAGTGGTGGAAGTGTGAACCAATGCATATCTATGCTGAGGATCATCAATTGGAAGATGAGGAGCTATGGTTTAAGTGGTCCATACAGTGTACAACTACAACACATTGTTATCTCTAAGTATATTATGGAGGAAACAACAACTTCCTCTAATTTATTTATTTATTCATGAAAAGAGAGTGCATGGTGGAAAACAAGAAAAAGAAGAAGTGCATTAAGTTTCAGAAAGTTTTTCTTCGATCATCTGTTAAGAGAAAGTGAATTGAGTAATAATTATTTTCCTTTTTAATTTAAGAAAAAGAAAAGGATGGATTTTGAATATTTTTTATTCCCACGTCTTGTCTCCATCCAAACACATTAGTAGCTGCCAATTACCCTAATGGAGTCAAGAAGAAAAATATCCGCTATGGCACACACCCAAACCATGGAAAAACTTGGTCAAAATTTGTTTTTGGATTTTCAATGATTTTTTGTGCGAATGGCTATCCTCACATATATTGCTATTTTCAAATTTTATTAGGTTAGGAAATTTAATTTTTTAGAATTTAGTTTATATATAGACTGGAGTAACATTCTCCAGAATATTTTTAGGTTGCATACTGCTCTCTAAATTACTCTAGCATTATATATATATTTGTTTAACCATTTTAGAACCCAATTCTAAAATAATTTAAACATTTGTGCATATCATAGCCTTTCATCACAAGCCACTTCCTACAAATAAGGATAATACACGCGCTCAAACTCTTTTTCGGGCACTCGTACTTTCTTGTACACCCTCTCTTTCTCTTCTTCAAGTATATATACAATTTTTTCATTCTAAATGTTTTGTTGTTAATCGATTAGATGTTGATGAATAATAATCACAATTGCGACAACCTTCAAATTGTGATTGCTTATAGAAAATATGAAATGAATATATAGAAGTTATGTTTATATCTATGTGAAAATCATCTTCGGGTTTCGATTCTAAATTTTCTGAATAAAATCATAAAATACTTATTTTATAATATCGCATGATTTTCGAATAAAATCGGAAATGATTTTGGTCTAACTTTGACTGTTTTGTAATAACAATGTTGATACACAAACATATTCGCCAGCTTGTATATGGTTAGTTACTCTCATTTTCTCATTCATGTTGCGCTCATAAGGGGATTATGATTTGCAACTTTCTCTAGACCTCCCGTAAAAGCATGAAGGTTAAAAAAAAAAAACGGCTGCAATATTTTTTTTTTTTTATTTTTTTTTTTTTTGGGTAAGTTAAAGTTTATTAAAAGAAAACCAGAAACTAATACAAAAGAAGGGCCATAACCCAGCAAGCCCAAAGGCAAAATACCACCCAAAAGGGCAACACGCAGAACAAAAGAAACCCCACAACATAATGGAATGTTACGATCCTGCATCACAACATAATGAAAGAGACGAACTCTTAGTTCTTCGTCGGTGAAGTTCATGTTCTTCAATTAATCACGTTCACCAAAGTCACATTCATACATTATCTCCTCTAATCGTCTCTTTCCATGGTCAATACAGTGAGTGCACAACACAATAAGCGTATATTGTGTAGAGAGATGAAAAGAGTTCCGGCCACCAATTCCAAAATTCTAATTTCACGCCAAAATTCTAATTTCACGCAAAAGTTGTTGATCAAAGAAACAATGAAGCCTCTCAAAACAGGCGATAATTCAAAACCTCAAAACTCTCCATGTACAAGAGTGTAAATTTTAACTTCCAAAAAACAAAAGTAAATTTCCCACCAAAAAATAAATAATAAATAAATAAAATAACAAGTCTATTAAATTTCAAGAACTCTCTCTATGTGATGATTCGTGTAAATTTCCAATATAAATATATATATATATATATATATATATATAGGTAAGCAACAAGTGTGTCAGTGAACTGTAAATACCACACATTATGCATGAGCTGCTAGGCAAGATAATGCTTGAATTGAGATGGTGATCGGAATCAATGAGGATAATGGAGAAAAGAAAGAAGAAAAGCTGGTTTGACAATAAGATAGAGATTGCGACGAGAGAGATTACATAATACTTGGGATTCTGAGATCGTATATGTTATGTTTGAGAGCACCAAATTGGTGCCTTACATTTAGAACTGAAGGAAGTTTAGTTCAACAATTGTACTAAATTTTCCTTTTTGTTTATCGTCCTTTCATCACACAATCAATCAAAATACAACAATCCTGATATACAGGAAATTGAGCTATAGTAGCAAATTAGAACATGTTGAGGCAGATGTAGCAAATTTAAAAAAGATTCCAAGCTACAAAATACAAGTTGCAGTATCCATTAGACCATCAACTGCAAAAAGACTAGGGCTAGTGAGCAGTGACATCATGATGTCATACTTGTTTCTCTCTCGTGAGTAAGAAAACCAATCTTTTGTTTCCAGGGAAGATGAAAACACCATCAAGTATAAGTTTGTCCAGCAAGTATAAGTTCCATTTTCAAATGGTAAAATACCAGCATAACTTTGTGATCATTCTAGGAAAATGATAAGAGTCATAAATCAATTGGTTTGCAGTTGTTCTCCATTGACATTTAATATAGTTAAGACTCATCAAAACTAATCAACTTAACTAAACTTTATACAACAGAAAAACAAGATACAGATCTTCCCACAAAAAAAATAACAAAACGTTATAATGAACTTCTTAGAATCTCCCCATCAAGAAATTCACCTTAAAACTTATAATGGGAATGGCTCACTTCTTCCCGCCCCCAGAAACATTGAACTTGAAAAATATAACGTCTGCATCTTGCACCACATACGTCTTTCCCTCCTGTCTATACTTACCAGCAGCCTGAGATAAATTCAAGCATATCATATATCAAACTAATGAAAAAAAAAAAAGACGACACCTAATATAGTTTGAGAAAGAAATTAAAAGAAATTTGATTAACAAGATGCCAAAAATGAGGGTAGGGCCACTCAGTAGCGGCACCAAGAGGACCCTCGTGCATCTAACGGACAAAGACCCGTAAATATATTAATCGCCCAAGTCAATGCTTTGTCATCCACCATAAACCAACAAGAGTACAAACAATTGTTGTATTATATAAATATTAACTGCATAAAAATGATACAGAAGGCTAAGTGGCAAAAGAGTAATGTCCATTTTGCACTAAACGTACTAATTTCATCATTTTAAGAAACTAGTAAATACACAATGGCTTTGCAACTGAAAATTATTAAATGAGAGCAACAATTTCTTTCACCATGGATGAAAATCAAATTATTACTCCATAAATATAAAATGAAGTCTCAAGTCTTAGTTTCAATTCTATATTTGGAAGCAGTATCGATATATAGCATGTTTACATCAAATACTCCTTCAAAACATATTATTTTGAGCTGACATTACATTTTATTTTTAAAAAGATCCAGAAGACAAAGATGTTAATCTAGAACGTGTATGGGATTTCCAGACAAAAATGTATGAAAGGAATCAGATTGGCATGAAGATCACTTATATTTTTATTGAATTTTTTTCTTAAGTTAACCTTAATTTAACTTGGAAAATTCAAAACTAGGTAGGAATTTGTTTCCAGATGTATACAAGTTTATTCACACAACGTAATATTGCCGAATAGACAGTTAAAACTACTTACGACTTGCGAAGTTTCTTTCCTCTAGTACGCAAATATAGATTTCTTATAGCAGAAGGAAGGATTTTAATAAAGGCATTATAAAAATTTCGCCATTTGAATTCAAGAAGGTGGAACTCCAATGGCTAATCTAAAGCACCACTATATCTCAAAAGGTGAAACCTGCTAATTCACCTAGTGATAAATTTCGAATGCCATATACAATAATTACCATTTATTGGCAAATCAGATAAAAATCATACCTTAACAGCTGACTCGGTACCAAGTTCCTTCAGATCATCAAATTTCATTACCTGATCATTATCATGACATCCAAGTCAGCACTTTCTGGTTCCATAGAAATAACAGATAAGAAAATGAAAAGTGAAGACAGCACAAATATTAGTTTTATGTATGATACTAAGAACTTAATTTTCTGAGACTGTAAAGTTCTTCATAGTTATGAGCTTGGAAATTACAAGAAATATGACCATTTTAGCTTTCCAGTTGCAGAGTAATAGTAAACAACACGTTTAGTGAGTTGCAGAGTATCAATTTCACTGAAAACAAGAAAACACTACATGCAGTGTGATTTATACAAGTAAAAGTGGCTGTGAAGGCAATGCTGGACAATAGCGATGATTTTTTTTATTGTGAGGTAACATTTGGAATGGTATTGTGACCTATAAACTACAAGAAGATCTACATAACTAGTTCTAAATGAAACTACAAATAACAAAAATAAAGGTGAAATAGGATTATAGGAGTAATGGAGGAGAATATAGATATGAACAAGTTTGATATTACACAACAAGATCTTTTTCTGGGGAAGCTTGAGCTCAAACAGATCCAATTGTAAACAAATTAGAATTTTTATTCAGATAATGAAATAATTATTTTAAAAAATAACAGATTTGCTAGTCAAAATGCCAACACAACTTTAAAATGTTTGGAAAAAGAAACAAATGATAGGCCAAATGAAAGCAATATTAATCAGAAAAATATGCAAGGAATAACCTCAGCACAAATGAACCCTCTTTCAAAATCAGTATGAATAGTTCCTGCAGCTTGAGGAGCCTTTGTCTGCCGTCGGATTTGCCAGCACTTCACCTGCATCAAAAAGACAATATGATCATCAAAATAGAGTTCAGAAACGTGTAAACCATACAAACAAGTTAATCAAAAGGAGGAAGGACATTGAAACGTAAGAAAATAAACACTAGGGGAAAAAAATGGGCACCATCAGTGCAATGAAAGCGCCATAAGCAATTTCAGTCACTCAAGTTCAAGTTAAGTAACAGGTTTGATTTCATCTAAAAAAGAATAAATATCACTCATAGGATAACATTATCTTAGCAACTAAACAATATTCTTGACACGTCTATCCTCAAATTTGTGAACTCTAATCGTTCAGAACCACCTCAAGATCAGAACTTAAAATAATCCCATTTCTCATCAAATCAGATATATATAGGATATGTAATTATACAGCAAGTTTCTAAGTTATCTAACAATACTATGACAGAAAAGGACAATTGCAACCTTAAGAATCCCAGGTCCACTAGAACAAAATAATTAGCACAATTAAAAATTAAAATCATGTGGTAAACTTGAGGAATTCAGAGGATTGTCATCAGGTTTAAAATTTTTCACTACTCAGCTTTAAGAATTACTCCTTCCGTCCCACAAAAAGTGTCCACCTTTCCATTTTTTGCTGTCCCAAATAGTGATCCCAATTCAAAAACCAATGTACTATTTTTTTTGTACTCCTACTTTACCCTCCTTGCCTTGAAGTTATAAAAGCAATTAAAGTTTGAAATATTCTCATGTGGACCCGCCATTGAAGGGTATATTTGGAAATTCATTCCCTACCACTGTAATAAAAAATAAAAATAATAAAAATAATAAAAAACTACACTCTTAAAAAGTTAGGTTACCAAAAAAGGGGCTCTTTTTGTGGGACAGAGGGAGTATATGTTAAAATATCTGATCATGAAATTATTTTATTTTTTCGTTTTTATTCATGATAAAATAAGAAACAACTTTATTAGAAAATGAAGGAATGCAGAGAAGTGTCCTATAGCAGAAAGCTCTGAGAATGAGCAAGACAAGATCACAAGAAAACAAAGAATAAATCATGAAAGATAAAATATTCCACATGGGTCTCTCTTCCAATTTAGCCCGACAATTTGCAAGAAAATGGCTGCAACACTTGTCATCCAGTGCACCCAAGAAAAGTCAACAGAAATCTCTGCCAAGCCCAAAATTTCTTGTCCAGTTTTGCCATATCATCATTTTTGAAGCACCGCGTCAGCATTTCCAAGAGCCATGTCAGTGTTTTGGACTTTTCAAATTTTGGCTAGCGAAGGTGCCACAATGGTGTGCTTTCGCTCTCCAAAAATAATACTCCCTCCGTCCCAATATAAGTGTCTTCATTAGGAACTGTGACTCACAAAATAGTTCCCAATGAAGACACTTATATTGGGACGGAGGGAGTAATTTTTAAAATTAATATTTTTAGGGAAAAGAAATTTGAAAAAAAAAACTTTTTTTTGGCGTCATTAGGCACTGGTTGTGTAACGTCTCTTATTTCAGTCAAGTGCAGGAAAAAAAATTTTAATTTGAAATTTTTTTGGCCAAAAAAAAAGTTTAGGCACTGTTGCCTAACGGCTCTTATTTCAGTCTTGTACAGGGGAAAAAAAAAAAGGCCAAAAAACCAGTTTTCGAGTTTCGATCTGGGCCAAACAAACCCTTAAGACCATTGCCCAATTTAAACTAATTGGACAGTCGAACAAGAACAAAAAAAAGGGGGGGCCCGCGCTCATGGGCCTGCTTTAAAACTTGGCAATCCATTCCACGAGGCACTGTTTTCGGGCCCACTTTCCGCAATTGGGTTGGACCATGCCCGGATCGAGGAAAGTGGACTTTGGGCCCGCGGAAATGGATTAATGGAGACGCTCTTAGCATACCCAACGCCCGTGCTTTTTGTCAATGACCAAATAGATTGCACTCCTTTGAAATGGTGGGTACCATCTCAGGGGGTAAGCAGACTTTCCCGGGTTCTAATTTCCAACCCATCAGGTCAGATTAACAACCCAGCCTTAGTTTACTAGTTCACTGGTTCGAGCGCCAGGGCAGGGGCCAGGTTTAACACTGCATCCAATCAACTTTCAAAGAATAGACAAGATATGGATGATCCATTCAAACAGGTACGGTCACACTTTTTTTTGGAAGGTCTACAAATATAGTTGTGATAGTGAAATTATTATGCCTGTCAAAATTTTGTAATATAAATAAGACACACCACAGTCAAAAACAAGTATACACCACAGAAACATTATCATATTTATGCAAAACATTTTACAGCAGGAAAATCAAAGCAATGCTTGCACAAAGCTTAATAAAATAAGGAAGAAAAAGAGAAAAAAGGAAACAAGGCATCAACTGAAAAAAATACCTCATCAGGGCCTGCAGTGAAAAAGTATATGAGATTAATTGCTGAGAAGCCGGTCTTTATGATCTTCGGAAGGGCACTGTAACGAAGTAAATCTAAATTAGCCTAGCAATTTATTAGCTACACAACTACCTTTCATTCTTTATTGCATGATCGCAGACTCCTGCCATCAGAACTATAACTACAATAAAATCAACTGAAAATAAGCAAATAATTAATAATGCAGTACAAAAATAAAATGGAAATCAGGGGAAAAAATAAAATAAAATAAGAAGCAATCAGACATTGAATGTAGTAATGAATACATATAACGTAACTGCAGCCCTATAAATTATTGATCTAGATGGTGAAGATGCAAAAGAAGTCTTTACTATTTATGAGTCAGCAATTTTCTGTAAAGAGGGAATACAATCATGCACTTAGTTATGTTAAGTGGGTTTTTTTTTAAATAAAACATAAAAAAATTAAATTAAATTAACAAAGTACAATGTTGGACAACACAAGGACATGGGTATGGGATATATGTCTGAAACGTCTGGTTGAACAAATTTGCTACAAGCATGTTTGATAATATAAGTAATTATTTAATTGCACATCAAAAATTCCTAGGGACCATTACTTGGTGTAGTGACTAAATGCTCGGACTGTCAAGCAAGAGAACACAAGTCCAATTTTGAGAGCAGCCAATTTCGCAAATAATGCTAAATGTTAGGTCTGTGTCCAATATGTCCCTCCCAGAAGCCAACTTTACTGGAGACCAAACAAGGTAATGATATAAAACTATCTAACTATGTTGCTTTTGTATTATAGTTTCAAAGCAAGTGAAATGTGTAATTCTGTTTTTCATAAAAGTATAATTTTCCTCTATGAAATAAGACAAAAATATTAATATGAATATTGAGCCATGTACCCAACACCTAGCCTCATAAACCCGACACATACCCAAGTCCATGAAACATAGATTCTGGTGTCTAGGGCTCATAGCCAAAAGAGTATATAAGGAACTTTGGATAGTTTAATAATAATTCTTGATCCCATAACAGTAGCTGTGAATCTGCTCATACATTTAAAATTCATAATAACCAGGCTTCACTAACTGCACCAAAATTTATCACATCATGTCTTATGCTAAAAGATCAACATATTTCATGCATATGCACATTGTGTACATCTAAAAGAATATATAAATACAATATAGACATAGAAATGAACACACACAACCTATGCATGCTGAAACAGAAGCTCGAGGAAAAAGACCTTCCAACTTGGTTGTTCAGTCAACTTCAAATTTTGTTCCTACGAGATGAGTAACAAGCCACACCCTCCTACAAAGTTCTATCGGTATGAACCTTTAAGGTGGTATAGAAAGATGCATAGTTCCTACATATATCAAAAGAGATTTTAAAAGAATTTGATAGTCAAGATGTGGCTTATGATGGGCTCCAGGTAGATATTTATCAGACAATAGAGTTTTCTTCTTAAGGTTTCGAACCAAGATTAAATCAAGAAGCTTTGACTTTTGTGATTATGACGAGGCTATTTCCTACCAAATACATAGAGTTCACCAATTCAACCTACTTTGATACTCCTAGAAACATATAATGTCCTCACCGTATTTTCTGACAATTGGGAAACTGAAAATAAAATCAAAAAAAGAACTAACCATGAAACAAATTATTTTTTTCAATTTTAATTTAAACAATGGTAATACACATAGCTAGATCTCTACCCGGACGGGTAACTTTGAACACGAGTTAAAGAGGAAACAAAGAAACAAAGAAACAAGAAAAACAAGGATACACAAAGAAGAGGCCATATCATTATCAACAGGTTATGGTATAAACGGCATCTCCAATTAAAACATAGGAACATATCAAGCAAAGAACATTTGAATTGAATCTGGACATCTAATACGTAAAATTTCCACCTGCAAATTCCAAGTTTTTTGAAGCTTCCAGAGAAGTAACCACATCAAGAATACTATTATAAACCAATATATCAAAACTTCCATATAGAAAATTTAACTTTCAACCAATCATCAGCTTCCCATTTGTCAGAAATACTAAAAATTTTAACTAACCTTTGTACCTTGTTCTCCTCACAATACTTTGCAGCATCATCTGGCGGCATATCAGCAAGATTTCTCTCTAATGCACAGCTGAAAGGGATAATAGGCTCACCCCCATGCTCCTGCACCCTAGAATATCAAAGAAAAATGATATCAACTTCATTGAAACCCATTACAGTTAGGTGGAACTAATTAGCTATAGTACTTGCTTAATGTCCAATTGAATCAGATACAAAACTTCAGCACTTAAAGCTTTGAGAGAGACAGATCATGTCAAATATGTGAGGACCAACGCAGTTTGAAAAACCTCAGCTGAGAGTCTACAACTTGGAACCTTTTCAATTGATTTGAGGACCCGCAAATTCTAGGATTTGGGTCACACTAAATATATCTCTATATACATACACATATATATACATACATTTTTTTTCCAACTGTTTCTATTTAGCGTCTTGCCATATACACAGCACGTCCCAATAAACAAGATGTGTTATGAACAGAACAGTTTCAGAAGATTCAGACCAGTTGTATACCATAAAAGAAGAAGGGGAGGGGAGGGGAGGGGGGTGGTTCACTTCTATGTCAATGAAGGGTAAAATAATACGTCCCATTAATAAGGGGAAAGGGAAAATGGCAATGCTAAATTGGAATACTAAAGGAAAGAAAAAAAAAAAAAAAAAAAAGATGCTCAAATTATTACTTGCAAAAACAGAATAATCATAAAGCTCATTAAGTTAATAGAACTTAATTGACAAATTTCATTCATAACCTACAGTCAATATGTTTATATTTTAACTTTTAATTAGTTTCCAAAAGGTAGTTAATTAGTTGAGTTACCTCTATCCAAGGGCAAAAGTGGAATTCAAAATATTGAGTAAGGACAAAAATGTAATTACAACTTTCAATCATGCACTCACAAAATTAATGTTGATGATTCATATCTAAATTACATGTTTTGATCAATAAAATTCCTTCTCAAATGTACAAAAGTATTTTTAAAAGTTACTTTTAGAAATCCTATTATATGCAAGATTGGGTAATTCCGATCAATTGCTTGATCAACCGAAGGCCATTGGAATATCTTCAATTGATCGAAATATCGATCAGGCCAAACCTGCAGGAATGAGTTTCAAATAAATTTTAACACTTGCAACCCCGTGCTTTCATACTCTGTATAAGTACCTTATGGTGTCATATAACAAGAGACATTTATTTAAGCATAAATCAAGCATTGACTATATATTCATATTGAGTGCATTCTAGTATCTAATAGCTAGAATTTTTATTTGTTTATGCATCCATCATCATACATCTATCTAGGTGGGGTGTGTGATTTGAGTGTTGAAGTTCGGAGATCCTACTGCTACAAGGACTTTCAACACCAAAAGCAACTTCCACACATCTACATGAAGAACAAATCTTACTATTCATGGAGATCAATGTGCTATAGGAGCGAATCACGTGAGGAGCAGACTCATTGATTGGCATTTAGATTCATTGACTGGCAGCAACAAAATGCAAGAGAACACTAGCATGAGTCTAGTCATAAATAACTAGGGGATTCCTGGGTTAGAGTCTGGTTAACATAGTGTGTAAGCCTTTTCTCATAGTGGATTTAATTTGCCTAAACTAGGTCCCGTGATTTATTCCCAATAGCCACATAAAAATTGTGTATTCATGTGTGTCGATGAGTTACTTTATTCTGCAAACATGAATATTTTTTGCTTACTAGTTAATTGAAATTCAAATTTAGTTAATAGTAGTTCAATTTTGAATTTCTGTTAAGTTTGTTAATTGGTTAGTAATTGGTAGTAGGACCTAAATACTCCCCTCTCTAGATCAGGACAAGACATCAGTGTATGGCATTCTCATACTCTAACTATCAGAGTCAAGGGTTAATCTATAATCCTTCAAAGCCAATTCACATTTTACTATTATAAAATATTTTCTAACAAGTTAACCACTTGTTCAAGAGGAGGACAGTGTCACATTTTCCAATGTTCATCCAATCTGTTAAACTCGCAGAGGCATAAAGAGGAAATCTTATGGGCATATAATTAAATTCTGAAGATGCATAATACCATGTACACAAGTGATCATTAACAAATATATTTTTAGATCAGTTACAGTAAGTACCTTCTTTGACCAATCTGTAATCTGTATAACCATGTCACAAAGATTGTGAATGGCAGTGGAGTCGTATTTTATATGCCACTACTATTTCCTAGATGATAATAAGTATTCCTTTATGGTCTCTCAGAGACGGAGAGAAGAGAGAAACTCAATAACTATGTAAGAAAAATACAGAACATACCAAGCATGAATCTTGGGCAGAAACTTGTTCTTTTTTCTCTGATAATCTTTCTCATTCATGTTAACCTGCACATGAAGAATGTAGATAATTAAAGTCAAAGTCCAACCCACACCACAATCACAATTTTTTTTTTAATAAATATGATGTTTAATTTGAAAGGCAAAGGCAGAAGGAAATCTGACCCAAAAAGCCACTAAAACATACTAGCAACATCCAAAAAGTGAAGAGAAAAATAATGAAATGTGTTTAGTAAACATTGTTGCTTCTTTTTTAAAACAACAAGATGAAGGAAATCTTTCGCTATATCTTCTAATTTTTCAAGTAATATACTCATCAGGGCTGACAAGTTACTTAGTTTTGGAAATTGCTTCTCCGTTCTTGTTTTACTTCATCGATATTTTTCCCTCTGCAAAGCATATAATTCCCCTAAGCTTGTCAATTCATCAAAAACAATGAAGAGCCAAGCCCTTACACTCGAATACTAAAGAAGGCATTGAAATAACATCACATTCTACAATAAAATGCCCTCTAAATTCTATCGCATCAGTGTCATGTCGATATCACACAAGGAGAAGTTAAAAATATATATGGTGGCCAGCTGCCAACATGCACTATAATAGGCATGCAGATTGCAGACTACTATCCTTCTGTAAAAGATTTATATATAAAAAATAAAAATAAAAAATCAAGTTATTCCACCCTTATTTTTATGCACCAATAAATCACTGCAAATATTACATATCTGCATCACCTCTAGACGTCCACATAATTAAGGACAAACATTAGCTCTCTTGATTGGGATATTTCATGCCTATCTGAAATTTTAATAAATATATGAATGACGGCGTTGAGCTTAAAACAAAAGAAAAGAGAGATATATAACGATCACCCTCCAAAACCATCCAATTCATAAAGTTTTTGCAGCAAGTGATTCCCAAAATTTTATGGTGAATTTTGTGAAGTAAAAATTAAGCATATACACACAACACGTCTCCTCAAACCTCAGCATCTATATATCGTGCATCTTTAGCAAGGAACTATCACTTCATTCATAGTTCTATTTCTACGCCAGATTGGCCAGAGGATCATCACCCACTTCTAATCCTTGTTCTGAGGAAGGACTCAAGACAGACCTAACATTTACTATTTCAAAAAGTGGTTGCTCCAAGGATTGAACTTGAGCCAGAGACTCTGATACTAAGCATTTTATCCCTGCACCAAGCAGTGACCCTCATTTGTATGCAATATTGATATCAGTTAAACTGAATTTGCTAGTTTATCGGCATTCAAGTGGAGAATTGTCCACACTCAGATATAAACGAAATATAATTTCTTTCTAAAGGTAATTTAATTTCTATCATTCTTGTTAGAACAGTCAATCCATTTATAAACCCGAGGACCGAGCTCAAGCATATGCAAAATCCTGAGGCCTCCTGGCCAAGGTACTGAATCACATTTTCTTGATCTACTTGCACCAAAATATATTGACATCTCACCCAAATTTATTAACAAAACGAGAGGAAACAGGATACCCTTGCATGATAAACTTACTAAAACAGAATTCGCCATTTCATATTTAATATGAAGTCCAAGAGGAGGACTGTGGATCAAAGAATCTCAATCATGTTATATATCAATCAGATTTAGGGCTCATATTTACTCGGAATGTAAAAAAGAGGCACTGGCTTTGGAGGAGGGAATTTGATAATAATTAATTAACCTGGGGTTCTGTTGTCTTTTAATTTTATTAAAAGTTTCAAGGATAAATTACTCTGACCTCCCTTGAGGTTTGCCCTAACTACCCTCAGCTTAAAGTTTTTGCGAACTAACAATCAACAACCCCTCACCCCCCCCCCCCCCCCCCGGGCTGGCGGTTCAGACAAATGGACTGTTTCTGAAAATGATGTCCAATGATTTGTGTTGGGTAGATGAAATCAATTTCGTTAACTTCGTACCAAAAAATTCCTAGTATATATTTATTCACACATATACACATGTATAAAGGATCACGAAGCCACACAAATCTGTTCTTGTAACTCTTGAATGAAACACCAAAATCAGTAACAAAACTGTACACAAACAAACTCACAGACATCAAAGATACATAGTATAATACAAACATGTATAAAGCTTCAGAAATTTGTTCTTGCGAGTCTTGAATCAACACATTTACAAACAAATCCATAAACATTTAATATACATAGTGTGTGTGTGAATATATAGTCACACACAAATACACATTTATAAAGGATCACGAAGGGTGGGTGTGGCTGATCCAACAACACACAAAATAAAACCCGAAAATCCCTCTTCATTTTAAAAGAGGGTTGGCTTTTATAGTGTTGTGGTGTACATTGATTCACAAACCTTTCTTTGGGGACATGTAGATCTGGAATTCCCCCCTTTTTTTCCAAGTACATGAGTTCTTGAGAGAGAGGAAACCCATTTCTTCACCACTGAAATTCCTTTTTCTTGCAAGTATCTGAGTTGTACACAGAGAGGGGGGAAACCAATTTCCTCACCACTATCCTTTGCTACAGATAGCAGAGGGTAATTTTGGTATTTTTATTTTTTATATTAATTGAATATAACAGATTTGACGGTTAATTAATGGCAGGGTGTTCAGAGTTAGGTCAACCAAACCTCAATGAGGTTGACCACCATATTTTAAAAACTTTAATCTGGAGGTAATCAGGCTAAACTTCAAGGGAGGTCAAAGTAATTTAACCCAGTTTAAAAGAACCATCTCCAGATTTTTGGTAGGTGAAAATGTTTCTACTTACAAGCACACTTTGGACACGCTGAAGCCACAAAAAGAGGGTGAAATTATTTCTACTTACTAGCCACACTTTGGACACGCCGAAGCCACAAAAAGACAATACATTATTTTCAGTAAGCATAACCATGGGCACGTAAAGTGTGCAGGAATCCCAACCAACAAACCCTCAGAGAAAGTCGAATCACCAAAAAATCAACAAAAGGATACAAAGTGCAAATGCCCCAAAGACAAAATGAGAAGTATCAAACTTGGTGTTCTTAATCATGTATAGGCATCTCTAAACACATCCCAAAACATCCCCTAGTCCGCACCCGCCACACACTCCATGATACAAGCAAAACTATAACCAAGACTCTTTCACAAAGAAAGATAAATCACCAAAAAATCAACAAAAGAATACAAAGTACGGGAACACCCCCAAAGACCAAAAATGAGAAGTATCTAACATGGTTTTCTTAAACCTGTGTATAGGCATCTCAATATCCCAAAGATCTCATATTTCGCCCCCGCCACACTCCATGAGACACTACTTGCCAAGCTTCACATGATCTTTCACTAACTTGCCACCAGCCCAGCATCAAATGAGCTCCCACAGGATGCATAACCCACAAATAGCCAATAAATACATTGAGCATATGTAAAGGGCAAAAACAAATGTGACTAAATATAATATATTTAAAACAAGAATGGCCTACCAACAACACAGCGCAGAAGTCTTTTATGCAAGAAAGAAGAGATAACTCACTAAGTAAACAACAGGTTTTGCGGTGAGCAAGTGAAAAGTATTCAGAATCTCAACATCAGCAGCTTTCCAGTCCCCGAGACGGACATCTTTTCCCTCCTCAATCCACTTTTTGACCTGCAGAAACCAACCACCACCACCATTTGAAATTTCAGACCATTTTATTAACTTGATATTATTTTAACCAGATCTGCATAAAATGAACTTTATCCTAGGTTAATACCATCATAATCCGATATGACAAAATTGTCAACACATCAACATTTGTAGACTTCTTTTTTTTGGCATAAGTAACATTTGTAGAATTCTATGATCAGAATAAGCAGGAAATGTGGATGCATACATATAATTCACTACCCAATGTATGTATGTTTCGCCTCACAGGACACTAGGAGGGCAACCTAATCTTCAGCTTTATTTTGCTAAAAGTCACTGCTCTTAAACTTGAAAGCACATTCTCAAGCTTGTCCGAGCTTTCAACATCGGGTCAAGCACTAGCCCCACATGAATATAATTCATGATTAATTAGATAATAGAAAATCATTCCCCTTCAAACATGTGAAGGGAGGCTGTGACCAGCCTTTTTATTCTATGAACAAACACAAGAAAGAAATAAACATAGTTTAAAATGTACAGCTCTTACCATATCTCAAATCAACCAATACTATAATTTTGTTGCTATAATGTAAAGAATGAACAACAAAAAATGATTAATTGAAAATTCCCCCACAGATTATTTATAAATTATTCATTCTTGGTTTTCCATTAAAAGAAAACAAAAAGAAAAATGTAAATTAAGACCATCATAGAAAATTATAAAAGTACCCCTGAGAATCTAGGTGCCAAAGTGCAGAATAGTGAATTGAAAAATGACACGTAGAGTGATAAAAAAAATAAATAAATAAATAAAAATAGCAGGTGGTGTCAGAGGAAAATTTATATAGTATTTGGCCGTAGAAGAATCTATAAAATTAAAAACAAATAATCCAGTCAAGGGGCAGTTAAAAGAATCTTCTCTTATTTCTTGGCCTTATTAAGAGCTTAGGAGAGGTCACCCGTAGACCATAAAATTTCAGCACATGAACAGACCCAATTCTCATTTTAGCTGATCCTAAGTTTTCTTCTGTATCCATCTTGTACCATCTAATTTCAGTAATATTACAGTTAACTTTTCACCAACCAGGGAAAAAATGAGAATAGAGATCAAATGCTCCCCAGGAAATGCTTGGACAGAATTTATGTGCTAGCAGAATAAACAGAAACTTCAATACGCACACACACACAAACCCCCACCCCCAAAAAAACAAAAAAAAAAATCTGCAGCCATTGCCAAGGCAGCACTTGTTGCTGCCAGAGCAAGGGCAGCTGTGGACAGTTGCATTGCTGCTTTCCAGAGTAGTACATTATTGTGGCAGCAGCCACTGCTGCTTTGGCAAAAGAACATGAAAAAGTTCTTTTAACATTACAAACGGAAAACCTGACGAATTATGCAAATATCTAACACTACACTAAAAATACAAGAGAAGAATATAGAACTATAGAAGACATGCATGGACCCATTATCTTTTTAGTCAGACAACTAGATGGCAACCAAATTGTAGTAAATTATTCTAATCAACTACTGATGCTATATACAGATTTTCTAATTATGTCCTGAAATTGATAAACTGTGACGTAATTAAACCACCAAGAATAGAGGCCAACAGGAAAAATCATACAGTTGAGGACAAGAGCAGTTAATAAAAAAATTAAATGTTTGGATAAAGATTAGACACACAATTACACCGTCATTTCACAGTACTGTGAACGTTTCAAATACTTCAGTGCAAAAAACATATCTGTTTGCACATAATGCATGACTAGATTAGATATTCCTCCATACATAAATAACAAATTTTTTTAATGAAATATAAAGAATTTAAATCCCGTACTATATAATAAACAAACCTTCAGACAGCACTCATGCTCTATTTTTAACTGCTTGTCATTGCTCCTCTTCATGCTCTTTTCGAGATCCTCTATCTTCTTTTCCATAAATTCAATGTCCTAAAAAAATACAACATAGTCAATTTAGGACATGCTTTGATAAAATAAATCATAACTCCAAAATAATATTGACAGATGATCTGAATGTCGAAAAATGATATTAAGGATAAAGTTTGGTCTTTTACTTTCTTTTGTTCTTTCTGTGTTTTTCTTCTTTTTCAATGGATGTTAACAGTGACGAGGTGTTAGAAAGAAAAGCGAATTCTGGTTTTTTAGTAATGTTTCACAAAGTTTAATCCGTGAATAATTTACCTAAACCTCAGGGGAGGTCGGAGTAATTTAACCTAAATAATATAGAAGACACAAATTCCATAGTCACTTTTTCTTGCACCAACCAGGTTAAATACCCCTCCAATACTACTTCTCTTCTACTACTGATGACCAAGAAACAAAAACAGTCCACCACGAACAATAATGCCATAGACTAACAACTGTCAACGACAATCACATCTTATTGGAGACTCTTATTTATTGCAGTTCCACCATGGTTGCGGTGGTGGTGGTGGTGGTGGTGGTGGTGGTGGGGGAAGGGGAGAATTAGAAACAACAGCAACAACAAGAAGGATTGAGTGCCTGATTCTTCCAAGCTTTTGTAGATGCCATGTCCAAGCATCCAAGGAGATATATAAATATATACACAGAAATAGAGAGGGGCAAATCCCCATAGATGTTGAAGCTATACTCGGTGATATTTTTGTAATGTCCCGGATTTTTCTTCTTCTTTTTTGAATTATTATTTAGGTGCCTCCTTTTGCGTGCCACGTGGGCTGCATTTTAAGTCATTTCTTGAGCCGAGAGTTTTAGAAGTGCATTTTTAATTATTTTAAGCCAATTGCAAGTGGCGGGATTATTTTTAGAATTTTTCGAAGTCGGGGAGACTTTCAACTTCTCCCGGTTTTCTCATTTTTAAGTGAGGGGCGTTGTTGACTTTTCACATACATATATATATCTATACATTGAGGTAGATATTTTGGGGATTTAGTTGGTAATGTAATAGACGAGTGAGGGCAATGTGGTAACCTTGCTTAAAGTTAGTAAGCCATAAATGGTTGACACTTGGCATGATGTGGACCATGGAGAAAACTGCAAGACAAGGACCAAACCCCCCTCTTCCTCTTCATTTCGGCATTCCCTCTTCTCTCTCTCTCTCTCTCTCTCTCTCTCTCTCTCTCTCTCTCTCTCTATATATATATATATATATATATATACATTATATGTTTTCTATGTTCAAATCAAAAATTGGAAAGGTTAGGATGAGATTTTGCTTAAGCCATAGAAGGAGAAGTTGTTCTACTTGGCAAGAGCTTCCATTTGACACCACTCTTGCTTGCATGGGTTTGGAAGGATTCGAATTTGAGTCCCAAGGGCTTATTTGGTTAGCTTAAGGGATTGTTTGGCTTGTACATTGAGGTAGGGATTTCTAATGCCTCAAACTTTGCCTTTTGTTGAGTATTCATCCTATGATTTTCTATTAACTTCATTCTTGAGTGCTAAAGTATGAATTGACATGATAGTAATATGTTAAAGTGGTGAAAGCATGCTAGTATGTGGACAAAAATGTGTTTAATTTCATGTTAAGTATGTGTATAATATGGCCTTGGTGCAAAGTTGCTTAAATAATGAATACTAGTATGATTTGTGATGATATGAATTCTATGAAGAGCATGCTTGTGATTGGGTTAAATGAGAATGTCATGCTTGTGAATGATTTGTAGAAAATGCCATGTTGTGCTCACTTTGTGGAGAATGCCATGCTTATAGTTGGTTTATGGAGAATGCCATGTTTGTACTTCACTTCTAGAAATGCTATGTTTATGCCATTGTTGCATATGAATGAGATTGAGACCAAATTGATGAAATTGAATTGCATGCATGGCATGGTGGGAAAGTTAAATGAGAAAGGGCATGAAATGGATTTTTATAAAATAAACCAAATTTCGCGAGTCCGGCGCTAATTCGACCTAGAGGGAGCGCGTGCCGGTTTAAGACGTGAAAAATTGATTACTAGGCCGACCAAATAGTTGCCGGATTTGGAACCAGGGATAGTAATTCAATCTCGCCTCAATAAAGTCGGTTAGCAATTTTTTATGTGAGTTATGGTCGGTAGAGACCAAGTTTGGGAAACAGTTGTGCATTGCATTACATTCTATGCAATATTTTGATGGATTGCTTATATTCTATTGATGGAATTGAATTGTGATTTACATGCTATAAAGTTCCCCAATGTATGATCCCAGTTTCTCTTGAATTCTAATGTGTGTTATGTGGCTCAAAGGAGTCTAAAGTTAGCGCCTTAGACATCTTGTACTGAGCCTCCATGCTCACCCCTTCCTTTAACCTTTTTCAAGTCACGGCAAGGAAGTGGTTGATGACTTTCCTCCACAAGTGTAGTCGAAGTTGATAAAACCATCTTTTATAATCTTTTGTAATCAATGCTTAGTTGTGGCGATTATTTTTGTAAAGTGACTATAATTCGTTCATTTTGTGAAAAGCATTGTAATTATGACCTTAAAGGTCTCAAATTTGTAATTATACATATTTTGTATATTTTGGGAGCGTAATTAAATTAAATTAAATCCTCACACATGGATATAGGTTGTGTATTTCATTATTTCATAGCATATGTGAATGGATAGGATTAAAATTACATTAACGTGGTCTTGTTTGAGTGTATAAGAGAAAGGGAATTATATGGGGGTGTTTATGTAAGTGTATATACATAAACGTGAAATGGTGTCTTATTGGTCTTTTAGTGGTGTTTATTGGTAATATTTTGGGGTGGTTGGTGAGATTTGGTTGGACAATAAAAGTAACTGAGTATCATGACAGAGGAGTTTCGGTCTACGTAAAGTTCCCACACGTCGACCGGTATCTCAAGTTTTGGGGCAGTGAGCAATCTCGCTGTATTGGTCAACGTAAAGTACTCATATGTCGACCGAATGACCCAAACCAGTCAACATGTAGTGTCCACACATCGACTGGTTCTTGCTACTTAACGTTTGTGTTTTATTTTCCCCTTTTTATCCTTTATCACCCATTTAATGTTGCTAGCATTTACTATGTGGCCCAATAAAATACATTAATTATATTTTAACCACGGGAATGGCCATATTACCCCCGAACTTCATCCTAAACATTGGATGACCTTATCAAATGACTGTTTTACCCTTTTTGGATCTTAAACCATCATAATTGTGTTAAATGACCATTTTGCCCTTGTTGGGCCTTAAAGTATTAATTTAATGGGAAACGACCATAGTACCCTTGCATGACCTCAGGTTCGAGTAAGGACCCGGTTAGTGATTCGGATACAGCAGATTTTGGTCATTACAATTTTGAACCTAACAGTCGCTCGTAAGAATGTCAATTACTATTGAGTAGGCCACTTTTCAAAAAGCTTCTATCGTTTAAGTTCTACTCACGCACACACACACACAGCGAAGAGGACTAATGGGAAGAAGATGGACTAATCAACCACAAAACAAAAGGAGGACGAGTAACCGACTCAAAAGAAAAGGCTATTAACTAAAAAGTTGGGAAAAAAAATCCTGGATACCAAAAACTACAAAGTCCTAAGGAATAATAAAAAAAAGCAATTATAAGATTGTGACGACTACTTCACGAGCTAAGAAGTTAGCCATATACATATATTTAGCAGACCTCACACGACAAGATTAATTTCTCTCAATGAGTGCCATAATATACAAATACAATCACATGCCATGTAAACCCCAAACAAAAGGTTAATGGAACTGAGGCTTATTACTTTTTAACTAAATGCATAACTCAACAAGAAATTTCCTTACCTGTCCAATATCTAATGAATCAAGATAACCATTTGTTCCGGTATAAATAGTCATTATCTGTTCTTCCACCGTGCGAGGGGCAATTTACTTACAATGCTTAGTTGACATTCATAAAAAGTATCTAATGAATTATGCATTCAATACATCTAGTTTAGCATAAATAAGTCAGCCATATCTTTTTTTTCCATGCTTAAAGCTGAAATGAGTGACACAGAGGCTTAGCACAGTGATGGTGTGGAGCTGTGAATAATGTATTCTAATTTAAATCTGGATAAACGATGTCAATGCTGATGACATCGAAGTCAAATTGCCATCCTCCCTCAAACCAATACTTCCATTCATTTCAAACATAATATATATAAAGTTATGAGCTGCAATATGCTATACGATCATATGCAAATGCCTAATAATAGAAAGGATGGAAGAAATACAAAAGCATACCTTGAGCCGTAATTCTTCACTTATAATCTCTAAATCCCTCACAGGATCCACAATGTCATCAACATGAATGATATCTGGATCTTCAAATGCACCTACAAATATAATACATGGTAATATTAAATTTTCTAGCATATTTGTGTAGATGAGTAAACAAAAAAGAAACTACAGCAGCAGGTACTAAAACATAGTTCGGTCAATAGGGCTTTGATTAGTAACTTTTGTGCAATTAGTAAATTAATATTGAATTTTGGTCTTTTTTATATTTCAAAAGTTAGATAAGTTTGGCAGTACAAGAGCAAAACAGTTAATTTAAAGCTTCAATAAAGGCAAAAAGGTAAATTCACCTCAGTATTGTGTACTTGCCAAATTTGGGTTCATATGGATGCATTCATATAATTAAACATGTTAGGGTCTATAAATTGCATGTTTTGATTTTCAAAATTGTGGTTAGAAATGCATTAAACTATTCTGGACATTAAAAATCCTAGTAGAATTAGGACTGAGAGTTTGATCTATCAAAAGATCATCCGAAACTCACTGGACTAGGTCGACAGATCGAACATATCTTTGATCAATCAAAGATTGAGAAATACCAGATTCCAAATCTGATTCAAAATCTAAAATCACTAAGCTTTTTCAACCTCCAAGGTCTAAAAAAAGACTTAATGCCTTCAAAAAACTACATGAAGCATACTTTTGAGCATCACATATTTTTGTGAGGCAGTCTAAAGTGCATCCCAGAAATCCAATTGCTAGATCTTTTTTTTCACTAATCATTCCCATAGATTACGAGTGTTCACTTGCGTTGAAACATATAAATGTTAGAACTTCAAGGACTTTAACACCATGGCAAATTCCGAACAACAAAACAAACCATCTAACATCACTGGATATGGAGATCAAAGCACAAATTGAAGAGTGGATCACTTCACATGAGCAGGGTTGTTCACTAACACAAGTAGAGTTCTAGAAAAATGTTGTGAGTCTAAATCAGGGGTATTGAGTTTGATAACCTAGTGTCATATACCTTGCTTCTAATACTGGACTTCATTTATCAGGATTAGATTCCGTGATTATTCTCCTATAGGGTTTTCCATATAAAATATGGTGTTTATGTGTATATATAATTTTTTACTTTATATTTTGGCACTGTGCCTGCTTTTTTACATGTTTATTGACAGGTACTTAAATTTCAATTAATTGTAAAAGTTGATATTTGAATTTCGGTCAAAGTTTGTTATTTAGTTTTCAGGACCTATTCATCCCCCTCTAGGTACAGCTCAGGCGTTTGCTACCCTTACTATCCAAGCCAAGGATTATGGTTTAATTCCTCAAAAAGCTTCTATAATTAAGTCCTTACATGATTGTGCCACCAAACATAAAACCTCACACCAAGAAATGTGCAGCAAGATTTGCGTAGGTTAACTTTAAACTACGCCAAGGGGGGCAAATAGCCAAAAGATAAAAATAGCCGCAAGATAAAGGCTGCAGAAACTTCCACATTTCATTGAAGCTCTCCAAATGACTTGCACATTCTTACCCAACATTCTAGTGGAGGTCTAAACTTGCAAAATCTTATCTACAAGTATAGACAATTATAATCATTGACATGACAAAATTACTAATTAGACAATCAATCCTAAATGTTGCCAAAAAAATAAGCAATTCCAAATTTTAGTTTGCTTTAAGGCACATACAAGCCTTACACTACTAAAGCAAGAACACTCCTATAAGCATGTCAATCAGTGCAAACAGAAGAGAATAAAAAATGAATGGACCATAAAATGTATTACCATGTGAATAAAAGATAATAAGAATAGGTCATGATTCCCCCACACGGGTATTACAGTTGCCCAATCAAATTCTGATCACAATGCAATAATAAAAACAATAAAGCTAGAAAATTAGAAAATTTAGGGCATGCACTGCACATAAGAAATAACTATCTTACGTAAAACATGAAAAATGCCGTCAACTGCACGAATGTGAGATAAAAAACTGTTCCCCAATCCTTGCCCTTGATGAGCACCACGAACAAGTCCAGCTATATCATGAATTTCTAAGAAAGCTGATACCTGTTCATAAAAAGAGTGGAATAAGTTAGCGAAGGGGGGAAATGGAAACAATAGCAAGCCACCCAGGAAACTATGGCAAGCAAAGAATGATAGGTTAATTCCAAATTATATATATATATATATTAAAATCGCAAGTTTATTTGACAATTACGAGTAACACGATTTATGGGAACTGAAGCTTCAATAGAACGGAGAAAACATGAGTGAAATTGTAAAAATTGATTCCCAATAGATATCCAAATGTGATATTTTCCTTATTTTGCAATTTTTAATCATAAGAAATGGGAGACTGAGCATGTCATTTCCAGAACAATTGAGCACAATAGATGAAGAAGAGATCAATTTTCAAAGTGTGGCGTCATTGTATAATAGCAAACAACATAAAGGAAATGCCCAATGGAAAACTATTAGCAAGTTCTATAACCAAATGCAGGAAAATCATGAAAGATGCAACATAAAAAGTGTAACTGAAATGAGAATCCAAACGTTGATGAGAGGCAACACATGAAAAGACAAAATAACAAATGAATGAATTGGGTAAAAAACTAGATGATGGGAAATTTGTTGATGATGGCATGTGCCAATGAAGACCATCAAAAGCTCCAGTTAGGAGTAGTTATTTGACCAGAGGAGATGAATGCAAAAAACAGTATGGGTCAAGTCAGTTAAAAGGACATGATGTTCTACAACCTCTCATACGATATTGACCCAATTGGGCTAAATATTGAAAAATAATTTGTACGATCAACCCAAGTTGTAGGAATGTCGAGTTAAAAACCACAACAACTATGATTGATATACCTGATTTATTGTTTTCCTTTTCATGGACAAAAAATGGAACGTGGCATTAGGGCATGTGTGCAGAGGACATCAGTCTCTCCCACAGGGGGGCAACAACCCTCTAGTCACCAAAGTATAATAAATATATTTATTACATTGCACTATTTGTTGCAGATTTTTTACTTTCTACGTAAAAGTCAAAATTATTTAGGATGATACAACAAAAACTTCGATTGCCAGATCAGCCTATTCAATTAGACTACTATAGAAGCCCTAGCTTAGAACATGGTAAAGCACTTCCCTTCTTTCTGCTTCTCCAGGCTACTTATACCTCCAACTCAATCCAAGATCAGCTTTGGCGTCTGAAGAACATGATCTGGGTCATCTGGCTAGGCTGGAGATCTTGCTTTACGCTTCCAATATCTCTGAACGGTAATATGTTTAAAGATAAGTATCAATGGGTATCGAAGTTCTCAATCATCTTGCGGGACATCTTCCAGAGGCGAAAGTGTATGCTTTATTTTCTTTAGTTACAGGTATTTGCTTTCTTTCTTGTCAAATTCCCTCCTCTACTCTGTTATGGACCCTAGATTTTTCTAGTCCCATTCTTGAAAATTTTTGCTTCATTCAGCACGTATTGCTAAGACAATTCTTATAACAGTTTGCAACCTTCGTTTCCTTGGTTTGACAGAGCAATAAAAAACTGATCTGGGGGCTGTGCACTTCTTCCAACAGTTCAAGTCATATGAGAAGAAGAAAGTAGAATACAATGCCAAATATTCTTTCTTGCATAAATTTTAAGATCGAACTAAAGTACATGTCCATTATGGGTTTTCACCAAAACATCTAAAACAAACAAAACTTCATAACTTCTCTAGCCACAAGATTCAATTGTTCATCTCCTTCCAGCAGTATCTATCAATGTCTATGATCTCCTCCACTACCGGGTTATCATAAGCCGAACATAAAAAGGATGACCGATGACCACTTCCTTACAAAGCCCATATCAGACTGGCAACGGTGGTTTATAAAGTAGCATTTCTTGTTCGGCTCAGTTTAGATTCCTATAGGGGAAATTTAAACTAAAGACCTGTCCCATAGCCCAACTCACCATGATGAAGACGGTATTATAAACTCAATTCCTAGCATATTATCTGAAATGAGCCTTAAATAACCAAATAAAGTATAAGTAAAATAAATAATAATAAGAAACAGAAAATTTGCCAGATATAATACGTGTCAGAGCCTTTGATTCAGGAAATAAAAGGAAAACCATGGAAGAATCTAAAATTCTCAGTTGGGCTTCACAAACATAAATACACGTCATTCAATGAACGGGAATAGATATCTACACTACAGTCATGTGAAAATAATGTAAGCAACGGATTCTGAATTTGGACAAAACAACATTAACGAATTTGAGTCGCAAACCTCATTCTTGGGCTTGTACAATTGACAAAGCCATTCAAATCGCTCATCAGGAATATTAACACGGGCCTCATTGGGCTCAATGGTACAAAAAGGGAAGTTCTCCGCCGGTATTGACAACTTTGTAAGCGTGTTAAAAAGAGTCGATTTACCAACATTTGGCAAGCCAACCTGCAAATCAGTTCAAACAAGAAGATCATCATTTACGTTTATTTTTATCAGTAACAGGTTAGAGATGAATAGCAGAAACTTCATTTACCAACTAAGATCACTGTAATACTTTTGAAAAGTGAAGTGAAGGTGCAAGGGTCCTCTAAAAATATAAAGCTACAACTTCAAAAATAAATAATTCATTCATTCATTTTATTTCCCAAGCTTTCTCAGGAGCCAAACAGAAAGTAATCAAAATCAATAAGAAATAAACAAATAAAAGAGAAAGATTTCGGGAAATTACAATTCCAATCTTGAGGTGAGACGAGAATCGGCCAAGAATGGGCCTCTCTGCAGGTGCTTCCTTGGATTTAGCTGCCTTCGGAGGCATTTTTTCAAATATCTGTAGAGAGAGAGAAACCTTGCTGAGATTACTAGGGTTTTTTGGTTAAATCAGTGTGACTGTGCGTCAAGTGTAGCGAACAGGAGTGCCCCAAACCCTCTCATATACCCAACCCTACCATCCATAATGCAACTCCTGCGTTGCCTAAATGCAGGCCCGTAAAATTAGTGCAATGAATTGAAGGCCCATTTGCGATGGCAACTCCAGCGTCGCCTAAACGCAGACTCCTAAGATTGGTGCAATGAATTAAAAGGCCCATTTGCGATGGCAACTCCAGCGTCGCCTAAACGCTGACTCCTAAAATTGGTGCAATGAATTAAAGGCCCATTTGCCCACCTATTACCCAAGTAACCCAACACCTAGTATCACCCAATGGGACCGGGTCTTTTCAAGTTAGAAGAAATAATGAATTCTCCGATTTCTTGAATGACATAATCGATATTTTTGTAAATTAAATATAATGTAAACTCTTTCGATACTAATCGAGCCTTACTCTTACTCTATTTATTTTCTTTTAGTATCCCATCAAAATTTACATTTTTTTTATAAGTTTATTGAAGAAGTTTTATTTACACAATAAATTTCCCTCGAGAAGGAATTTCCTTTGTTTGATAGAGTTGATATAAGAAAAAGAGGAAGGATGTCCTTTACAAATTTTAATCAGCCCAAAAAAGGAATCCTAAAGTATACAAGTTTTAAATTACAATTCTATCCTTTATGAATTAGAACATTATAAATATTATTGGATATAAGAGTAAAAATAATTAAAACTTTATATTTCCCTCTCTTTTAACAAACATAGTAAATTATTAATTTATTCTATTCTCTTCTCTTCTATCCAACAGAACAAAAAGAAGAAAATACACAATTTCTTTCTTAGGGATATCTTACCGAACATAGCATTACTAAAAGAACATCGGATGCAGTATGCACGACCGCTTGTGGGCTTATCCAAGATTCTTTAAAATTGTGTGGAGTTTTCTACACTTGTATATATATTTTCCGATCATTTTTTAATTATTTTAGAACCATGTTCTAGAATTCTCACAACCATTAGAGACACTGGTTAGTTCTTAATCCTATATAATATAGTGGTGAGATTTCATTTGTTTCTCATAATTACCGAACCATTGCAAAAGTTTTTTTTTTTTTTTTTTCTCGAAAAGTGAAGCTAATATATATAAAGGGTAAAGTACAAATAACTCCCATAAACTTTACTCTATTTCTTTAGAAATCCCCCTGAACTTCTATTTTTAAAGTAAACACCCTAAACTATTTTTTTTTGCAAAAAAAAAAAGCCAGGGAACACTGTTCCGGCCTGTGATTATCACATGACGTAAGAAAAAATTTCAATATGACAGAGTTGCCCTTATTGTTAGGAAAATAAATTAATAAAAGCTCCAAATTGTTAATCCTAATTTTTGTTTGCAAATAGTAATCGTAACCCACTCATTCTCTGCAACCCATTCAAAATTGAGAAGAACTCGAGCAACAGACAAAACAATCAAGCTCAAGCTCGCAGGCATCAATGTCGCCTTCTTCAACACCGACCAAGCCCACCGCTCTGCCACACCCACATTCACTCCCATTTTCAAACTGTTTCTAATGGACTCTTAAAAGACCCTTCGGCGATCGATTTTGTAATACCCCTAATTTAAAAGGGATAAAAATTGGAATTTAAATGTTAGTTTATGTGCATTTTTATTTTATTTTATTTTATTTATTTATTTTGTGGCTAAGTGTTCATGTGTCAAATTATTTATTTGTGTTATTATTTGATTTATTTGAATTATTTGCATTAATTGAATTGATTGCATTACAGTGATTTAATTGAAATTGTTTGTTTGCATTTATTGACTTATTGGAATTCTTATGTGAATTAAACTATGTGAGTTTTTAAATATATTAAGTTATTTTTACTTACAAGTTTTGGGACGTCATCTGGTGTAGCCGACATAAAATTTAATCGTAGGCTTTATTATGGGCCGACTAGGATTAAGTTTAGGGCTTTGTCTCTATTATGACAAGGATTAGGGTTTTGGTATTAAGCCTATAAATATACCATTATGCTTTAAGCTTAGGGTTTACGATATATCACATAGCATACACGTAGAGTTGTTCTGTAAAAACAGAGGGTAGAGGAACAGAGCATTGTAAGGATTGTCAAGGAAGAAATCAGAGAGGACCAAGGGAGAGTTATGGTGGATTAAAACAAAACCATGGGAGGCTTGAAGGTGGTCAGTGTTTGCCGGAAATTAGGAAGACGGCGACAAAGTTTTGAGACCAAAACTGTAGGCAAATTCTTCTCTTTCTCCTTCCCTTTGGCTTGTGTTCTGTGCACCTAGATAGTCTCTAGGGTTTAATTGAACGTTAATTGGAAATTATATGTTTAGTACATGTTATATCAATGATCTGTAGGTGTTGATATCAATTCTGTAAAACAAAATTTATGCATGCTTTCGTTTCAGCATTCTGTTCTTAAAGTGTGTTAAGTTAGTTGCAATTTTAGCCTCTGTAATTGTTTCCAACCACTGTAGATAGGCCATTGGAATGATACTAGGTATTTATAAGACTAGTAAGTTCAGTATTTAAGAGAAACAGAGGAACTGGAATGACCGGAGGTGGAGCAGATAGGCTGAAACGGAGCAAAACGGGGACGGAGGCTCTCAAAGGAGGTGAGAGCTGGCTCCATGGATGTGGGAGCCGGCTCCCACGCTTAAAGAGCCGTCTCTAAGAACTATAGAGCCGGCTCCAGGCTCAAAAGAGCCTGCTCTTTAAAACTTAGAGCAGGCTCTCTTCAATAGTGAATGTTCTGTAAACTTTTCTACGAACTGTTTGTTACTTTGGAGCATGGGAATGTTTCTGTTGATTCTGGGGTTTCACAGAAGGATTAGAAGGCTGATTTTGGGTGTTATTAAGACCTTGAATTAATTAAATTTGATAAGGCTCCTAAGTTCAGTAGAATTGTTGTTGAAAAATAGTTTTAGTTTTGTTCTTAACACATGTTAATTCGGTAGCGACTTTAATTTCTGTAGTTGATTTTAATTGTTGTTTTCAAATCATTGGGATGCTCTTTGGTATTAATAAGACCTTTAGGATCAGTTTTTGAAATCAATTGAATGGTGGAAAAAGGCCGGAGAAGAAGCAGAACGGTTGGAAACGGATAAGTAATTGAACTGAGGCTCATAGGGGAAGAGAGACGGCTCTATGGAGGGAGGAGCCGCCTCTCCCATGAGTAGAGCGTGCTCTAGAGGAAGTAGAGCAGGCTCTACCTTTAAAAGAGGCTGCTCTACCTCTAAAAGAGCCTGCTCTTTTAGGATTAGAGCAGGCTCCCTTCATTTTGCACATTCAGTTAATGTTTTTTCGAACTTTTTGCTACTGTTTGGGCACTTGGGGTTCTTGAAAAAATTCTAGAACTTTAATGGGGGTTTAAATAATTAATTTAACATGTAATTAAGATCTTAAATTGCATAAACTACCCTCGTTGTAATAATGGAATTAACAGTGCGCTATTTAACAATTTTGCGTACGGTTAACGGCTGGAAGGAAATAAATTGTTTAATTTTAATTTGACAATTTAAGGTGTTATATATGTTTCTAAATTAAATTTTAGATGCGTGAGGGAGTCTTTTAATTAATAAATTGGACTCGTAGCATAGTTTGTGGCTGGGTGCTTAAACAACAAAACAATATACAAGTATGCAACCTAGCTTGCTATTGACGGATAAAAGGAACTGAATTGCTAAAATTAATTTTTAGCAAATTCTTGAATAATATAATGATTTTAAATCTTATTTGAATGCATGATAGAATAGTTGATTTATTAAAACTAATTTATTCATGCTTTGGGTGCTTGTTGATGAACCGTTAAATAATACATGGTTTAACTCTTGGATTTAAATTGCTGAAATAATAAATATTCTTTTGCAATTGTTTGGAATGGTTTCGGATTGTAAATTACTAACATGTATTTATACGTTGTAATTTACATGGTTTTGGATTTTAAATTGCTAAAACTTAAAACACTTTTCTGCAAGGATATGGATATTTGGTTTTGGACTGTAAATTACGTGCTTAGTATTTATATGTTATAATTTATATGGATATGGAGGATTATATGCACCGGTATGGGACGGTGGCATACTAGGTATGGTTTAGCTCAAAACGCTGATTTCTACCTTATGGATTTTAATTGGTGAACAGTTTTATCTGTTTTATCAACTATATAGATTTTGTGGATTGTATGCACCGGTATGGGACGGTGTCATACTAGAGACAGACTGATTCAAAATACTCAGTCCTACCTATTTTGGAATAAGGGTACGAATTATAAAAAACTTAATTCTCCTTATATTTAAGTCTGTGCAGTTGAATAAGCTGAACGACTTACTGGATCTCTTATATAAGTCTGTGCGGCTGAATAAGCTGAACGACTTATTGGATTTCTTATGGATGGATATGAACGGATTTTAAATATATGGTTATGATATCACGAGATGAGCTTGAGTCTCAGACTCGTCAGTTAGGGTGCGTATATGCAGTGGATGCGTCGCTGGCTATAGTAGGTTGAGGTGTACCCTGTTAGGTCTAGGTACTCATGCCCACCTTTGGGTGCGTTTTCGCATGTTACCTTCTATTCAGGTTAAGACCCCTATTGTAGTTCAGTGAATGTCCCTTAGTGTGGATATATATATATATATATGTATGGACTAGATAGCTATTGTTGAGATATCTAGGGTGTATCTGCATATCAGGTCACTGTTTGGATTACAGTTAGAGAAGAATTTGCATGTGGGCCTGACCCACTCTTATTTTTACAGGTGTTCGTTACTTCCAGTCTTAGAGCTGGATCGTGCTGAGCAGATACAGTCATTCACTCCACCGATGATGTAGGATTTTGTTTCATGTTTTAGGCTTTGGTTTTTTTTCCAGTCATTTAAGTTCAGTGGGATATTTTAGGGGTCCACTAGATGGATTCTCGAGTTGTATAATTTGGAGAACGATTTGTATTCGTGAAGGATCAGTTGTAACAGAATAGTTTTATTTATCAATAAAATTTTATTCTGAGGTTTCAGTTTTT